TGTGTGTGTGTGTGTGTGTGTGTGTGTGTGTGTGTGTGTGTGTGTGTGTGTATATATATATATATATATATATATATATATATATGTATGTATGGCGGATTCTGATTTGGTAAGGTCCCAGGTGATGCAGGTACAGCTAGTCCGCGGACCACACTTTGAGTAGCGAGAGTGTAGGGGGCATCCACTGGCTCATTGGCAGTGTATCAAAGGAAAAACAGCGAAAGTTCTCAAGCTTGGAAAATCTATTTAATACATATTATTTATTATTAAACAGTCATCTGAGCATTGCCCTGGGTATTGTGGCAGGAAAGCCCTGTTGTTTTTGAGGAAGTACTTGGGTACCCCTCACATCCAGTTTCGCCGCTATAGTTCTGTATGACATTGAATTGTTTCGAAAAATCTATTTTCCTGCAGAAACGTTCTGTACATACTAGTTCCTGCTTGTGTTGCCAAGAAGCACATTCCTGGTGCCATTCTTTCCCAATTCTTTAATGTTTATTGCTGTCTCCTGAAGCTAAGGACATTAGTAGTAATAGTGGAGAAGGTCATAATAAGCCCAAGGCCAAAACTGGGGTTCCAACTCCTTAGTTGGAATGGGGCGTTGGAGAATGAAGACCAGAGGGCCAAGACCTCTTGATGGTGTAAACCTTAGACACACTTCTTCATTCCAAGCCAGCACTAACTCCTCAGCCATCTGGTTGTACCACCCCTTAAAACATGCGAACCCTAGGAACTGCCCTGCCTTCCTTATACTGCACTTACTTTTTTGCTTTAAATTAGGCTGTTCATCTTTACTTCAGTCCCCCATGGGGTAGGGGGAGGGTGTGTGTGTGTGTGGGGGAAATAGGCTCACTGCTTCAGTCCCAGCCTCACATCTTTGAGGCAGGAACAATTTAATTTTTAGTTCCCTAACCACGGCCCTACTCCCCCACCCCCAAAGGAGTTTAAATGCCAATGACGGTAGAGTAAAGGAGAAACTGCATTGAAAAGAAATCATCCTTCTGTAGGCCCTTTTGCTTTTTAATTTTCACTTTAGTTTTTCATTGTCCCGTTGAAGCTGCCAGTGGTGATCCTTTGGGTGCACTGTATTAGGGAGTTAAAAAAAGATTTGTATACATTACAGAGGAAAAGATAGAATAAGAAGAGGCTGAATATTTTCATCAGAATTAGGTTAGGCCCAGGAACCTGTAGGTGAGGAAAATAATGGGGCTTCTGAGGTTCGAGAGCGACCTTAGTTTGGGAGAAGCAGTTCTGGGAGAAAGTGCATGGACTTTGGAGCCCAGCTGACCTGGCTCAAATCTGAACCTATGAAAGGGTAAGGATGGGCTGTGTACACAGTCCTTCGGTGACCTAGAATGCCTGAGACTGTTCCAGTTTTAAAACTGGACGTCCCACATTCCTGGAACCCCCTCAGCCTCAGGCGACCTGAGGGTAGTTGAATACTCTAGTCCTTAGGCAGTTTCCTTAATAAAGATTTCAGAAATCTTAATAAAGATTTCTCTTCTGAAACATTGAGATAATAATACTGTATCAGGCTGGTGTCTGGTGTGGGAATTAGATGAGAACATATATGAAGCACCAGGTTCATAGTTGGTAATCTTTAGAAGATTCTTCTTCCCTGGTGGCTTAACATCATCATTTCCCGTTGGCACCATCAGTTCTGTGGCTGCATAACCAGAGAGTGAAGCAGAGATAAAATAGAGCATAGGCAGACAGCTGAAAGGCAGAGAAATTCCCCCCAAATTGGAGCAGGATATTAAAATAGGAGGGAAGGGGAGGCAGGGGAGGAGCTGAGATTTGATGTCCCTTTACCTGTTTCTGGGTTGCCATTTTATTTATTTATTTATTTATTTATTAAACATTTTATTGGGGAGTTGAGGAAGGGGAACAGCCAAGTTGTTGTCCCTCAATCTCAGTTGTGGAGGGCGCAGCTAGCTCAGCTCCCAAGTCCAGTCACCATCCGGCCACCTGTCGGCAGTTCGCGGCCGCTCAACTCAAGGTGCCGTGTTCAATCTTAATTGCGGGTGGGCAAAGCCCACCATCTCATGTGGGAGTCAAACCGGCAACCTTGTTGTTAGGAGCATGTGCTCTCACCAGCTGAGCCATCCTGCCACCTGTTAGCAGCTCAGCAGTAGCTCAGCTTGGGCACAG